GGGCTGTCGCTGAGCGGCCACCCTCAAAGGGGTGTTGCTGGGGCCAGGGTTTGTGCGGGGAGATTGAACCTGTCAATTCTGCCTCCTCGTGCAAGGAGACCTGTGGCTGTTCAGGAACACCAAGAGGCCACCGCTGTCTCCTCCTGCCACCCTCAGGTGTGGTAGAGGGGAAACTCCTCAGCGAGGCCAGAGTAACTACGCAACCATTGTGTGTGCCCCCCTGAAAAGCTGCTGGTGTGCCTACAGCAAGGTGGGAGGGAAATCCAGCCAGCCCATACTTGCTGGTGCTGCTGCTGCAGACGCATACTCTGCCCCAGTGCGGTGTCTCAGGTCCTGACCTCAGCACCCAACCCCGCTGGGCTGCCCCAAGAGCAAAGCCAGGACCCTCTTAGCCTTGTTCTCCCTTCCCAGTAGTGAAGCCGGAGCTGCTCCAGAAAGCCACGGTGGAGCTGCTGGACCAGGCTCTGTGCGGCGACCTCTACGGCAGCAGTGTGCTCACCGACCAGATGATGTGCGCTGGCTACCTGGAGGGCAAGGTTGACTCTTGCCAGGTAGCCCCACCCCCCAGCAGGCTTTGGACGGACCTCCCTTCATGACCTCCACTCCACCTCGGCCTTTTCCTTCCACAGGGCGACTCCGGGGGGCCCCTGGTCTGCCAAGAGCCATCCGGGCGCTTCTTCCTGGCAGGGATAGTCAGCTGGGGGATTGGCTGCGCGGAGGCCAGGCGCCCAGGTGTTTATACTTGTGTGATCCGGCTCCGGGATTGGATCCTCGAGACCACGGCCATATCCAGGGGCCCCACCGCCTCAGCCATCCCAGGCACTGGGCTCCATCCCTCGGCTCCAACCGTGGGCACAAGTGCAGCCAGTCTACGGCACCCCAGGTCCACCCTCAACTCTGCCTCCCCAGCCCCAAGCAGACCGGCAGCCACGAACCCCCAGTCCTCAGGTAGGGCAGCTGGCAGGGAGTGAGTGGAGGCGGGTCGGCCCCCTCCTGCATCCACCACAGCTGTTCCCTGTTCATGTGCAGAGTGTGGTCGGCGGCCTGGTTTCTCCAAACCCATGAAAATTGTGGGTGGCCTGGAAGCATCCCAAGGGGAGGTCCCTTGGCAAGTCACCCTGAAAGAGGGTCTCCAGCATTTCTGTGGGGCCGCAGTCATTGGGGAGCGATGGCTGCTTTCAGCTGCACATTGTTTCCACCAGTAAGTGTCCGTCAGTACGAGCCCTTTGGCAGCTGGGCTCTCTTCTGGAGAGCTCCCGTTTGGGCCCCCACCGAGGGGGAGTAACTGAGCGGCTGCTGTTATTGGGGGGGGTCTGTTCAGCAGGAGGTGGCAGCAGAGAACCCGAGGGAGGGGTGCCACCTTAGGCCTGAGGCAACCTCAGGAAGTCACCTGCCGTCCTGCCTCACATCTGCCTCGCCCAGGATCGGCCCTACTCCCTCCAGCCTCGACCCGGGGGGGTGGGGGGGTGGCACGGAAGGGGCAAAGGGCCTGCTCTGCCTGTGGACTGACGGGGCATTGTTCCTGTTCCTGTATCGGCAGCACCAAGGTGGGACACCTCACTGCCTTCGCAGGCACCACCTCACTCTTGGCCACAGACACCTCTTCTGTGAAGGTCGGCATCCAACAAGTGGTGCTCCACCCTTCGTATGACCCTGCCCTACGGGACTTCGATGTGGCAGTGCTGGAACTGGCCAGGCCGCTGCGCTTTGGCAGATACATCCAGCCTATCTGCCTCCCACTGGCCGCCCACAAGTTCCCTGTGGGCAGAAAGTGCCTGGTTTCAGGCTGGGGCAGCCTCCAGGATGGCAACGGTAGGAAGAGCTCCCTCAGGGTAGGCAGGGAGTTCCGGTGGTGCCCTGTGGGTGGAAGAGCGCCCACCTTGCATACTGAACCCCGTTGGGCAAGAGCAGTCTTTGCCACACTCTGGGCAAGGTGAGCCAAGGTCTGGGGTGGTTCTCAACGGGGCCCAGAACTTTGGGCTAGTCCCTGCGAGGTCTCTTCCTCCTCCTTCTTTTGGGCTTCCAGCTTCTCAGCCCGAGAACCTCCACCGAGCCGCAGTGGGGATCCTCGAGCAGACGACCTGCGAAGGACTGTACAACGTTTCCCTCTCGGACCAGATGATCTGTGCGGGGTTCCTCGAGGGGAAAGTGGATGCCTGCCAGGTACCAGGAGCACTTCTCCCCCACCCTGGCCCTTTCAGGACTGAGCGCCCCCCCCCCATCCAAAAGCACCACAGGAGGAGAGGGGCATAAAGGCCGAAAGTGTTGTTTTGGAAAGAAGATACCACCGTTTCCCAACCATGTTCGAGTTCCTTTCTGTTTCCATAGGGGGAGTCTGAAGGACGCACAGCCAGGGGGCTCTTAGTGCTCTTTCAGCTTGATGGTTTTCTTGCAGACGCTTCGTGGCCCCACTAGGTATCATCAACTGTGCTAAAAGGGAAGAGGGTGCCTAGCACTAGTTGGGCTACGAAACGTCTGCACAAAAACCACCAAGCTCAGAGAGCACCACATGGCTCTGCTTGGCAAGAGGGGGAGGGGGCTCCTGTGGCCTTTTCAGGCCCAGCTCCAGCCTGAGAATTCTTTCGGCCTTCTATGGAGGAATTGCCCTGGCTAGAAGAGATGGGGGGAATCCACCATTAAGGCCCTGGACCTCGCCAAGAGGGGCTTCCTCCCGCCTTCTTTCCAGGGGGACTCAGGGGGACCACTGGCCTGTGAGGAGACCCCAGGAACCTTCTACTTGGCTGGGCTGGTGAGCTGGGGCGCTGGCTGCGGGCAGGCCAAGAAGCCGGGAGTCTACACCCGGATCACCAAGCTCAAGAGTTGGATCCTAGGCATCACTTCGCCCCATCTCGGCACCGCAGAGCCCCTCAGATCCAGGACCACCGCTGCCTCCACCGCCTCCGGCCCAGAGCAAAGGCCTACGCGCCTCGGCCCAAGCGCCAGCCCTGCCAGCTTCACCACACCCGGGCAGGCGGTCAGCGCCTCCAAGGCCACCCAGCCACCAGGTGCAGAGCAGAAAGAGGCCGAGGGTGCAGGTAGGTGGGTTGTGCAACCCAGCGTGGCAGAGGGAGGCCAGCAGCAGCAGCAGCCCTCTTTCCCCTCCTCTGCCACAACCGCTTGCCAGGAAATGTTGGTTCAGACTCTACCTTGCCACGAGCAACGCCAGCCGGCCATGGGTGGGAATTCTGGCTCCCTGTGGAGAGAGAGGAGCCGGCCCCTCCGCTGGGCTCACCTGCTTTCCCCCCCCCCCTCCGCCAGCCGTGCCCTGCAGCCCCTCCACGTTCAAGTGCTCCAGCAAAGTCTGCATCGGGAAAGCAAACCCGGAGTGCGACGGCCTCATCGACTGCGGCAACGGCTGGGATGAGACTGGCTGCAGTGCGTACCTCCCCCCCTTTCACCAGGGGCAGCAGCTGCTCCAGTGGGAAGGGGGGGCTTTCGAAAAAGGGACACGGAGATGTCAAAGGGGGGGGGGATCTCTCAGTAGGTTGCTGGGAAGTCTTTCTGATGAAGAGGGGCTGCCAGCCACTTCCCCTGCGGTCTCCGGGAGACCCCCGCTGTCCCCACCAGCGCCAAAAATGGGCCCACAGCTGTACCCCAGAGCGGCAGGGGGAACCCTGTGGCAGAACATGGGCGGAGGGGCAAAGGGGGAGGAGGCAGGCATGTGTGTGTGTGTGTGTGTGTGTGTTGCTGGATTGGGCTGCCCTCCCTTCAGCCACTGCTTTGGCCCTTTCCAGCAGACTGCGGCTTGGTCCCCGCTGCAGCCTTCAGCAAGATCGTGGGAGGAAGCGGTGCAGCGCAGGGCGAGTGGCCATGGCAGGCGAGCCTGCGGCTGCAGCAAAGGCAGCACGCGTGTGGAGCTGTGGTGATTGCTGAGCGGTGGCTACTCTCGGCTGCCCATTGCTTTGACATGTGAGTGGGGGGGAGGGACTGGAGGAAGGCCCTTCAAGCCACTCCCTCCCCACCCCCTCACCGGCCTCCCAGCAGGTTGGCCTGGCCACCCCACCACACCTCTTGGTCTCAGCAACCTCCAGGGCTGCCCAGGCCAGGCCAGAGTGTGGTGGGCGCGGGGGGCTCTGCCGAGGCCTCTGAAAGGCTGACGGGCTCGCCTCTTGCAGCTACAGCAACCCCAAGACGTGGGTGGCTGTCCTGGGGACACCCTTCCTGAGTGGCCTGGATGGGCAAGTGGGGAAGATTGTCCGGATCCACAAGCACCCCTTCTACAACAGCTACATGCTGGACTACGACGTGGCCCTGCTGGAGCTGGCCACCCCCCTGCGATACACTGGCTCCATCCGGCCCATCTGCCTCCCAGACCGCACCCACGTCTTCAGCGAGGGCGGGGCCTGTGTCATCACCGGCTGGGGCTCCACCAAAGAGGGGGGTACGGATGTTCCTGCCTATCAGCCCTGCCCCCGTGGGCTCTGTCAGATCAAGGGTCTTCCAGGGATGCCCTGGCGTGGGATTCTTCAGCTCAGGGTGGAGATGTGACGTCGGGGGTGTTGGGGGGGGTCTTGCTACCTGCAGGCCTGGTGAGCATGCGCCTGCAAAAGGCCGTTGTCCAGGTGATCCCGGAGCAGGACTGCCGGAGGTTCTACCCCACCCAGATCAGCAGCCGGATGCTCTGTGCTGGCTTCCCGCAGGGGGGCGTCGACAGCTGTTCGGTGAGTTCCATGCAGCAGCAGTGCCCCTACGGCCACCAGGAATGGCGAAGGGCAGTCCCTCAAAGTCACCCTCCCCCATCCCGTGCTCAGGGCTCGAACGCTCATGCTTCCCTCTTGCTCCGTAGGGAGATGCAGGGGGGCCCTTGGCCTGCAGAGAGCCGTCTGGCCGCTGGTTCCTGGCAGGCGTCACCAGCTGGGGCTACGGCTGCGCCCGGCCTTCCTTCCCCGGGGTCTATGCCAAGGTGACAGCAGTCCGGGGCTGGATTGCGCAGAACCTCAAAGCGTAACCCCGTACCCACTGGGGCCAAGAGGGGGAGGACCACAGAGACTGGCCTCTCACGGTCCCCATCCTGCCAAGGCCCTTTCCTGAAAAGGAGGACCCTGCCAGACAGGGCCCTGCTCCAGCCGCAGGTACATTAAATGAAAATAACCCACTTGTGAATTCCCACGAGGTCTCTCTGGGTCTGCTGGGACGGGATGGTCTCTAGAACCCACAGCCTCCACAGCTTGTCAGGAGAAGCCCCCGCAACGCTCACACAAGCTTTGGGATGGCTTCCCCTCCATTTCAGACAACAGGAAACGTGGAAGGAGACTGAGGTGCAAGGAAGGGTGTGTTAGCCAGGGCGAGCTTCCCCGCATCGGCCCATCTGCCGCTTCCTCTCTCCAGCCCCCAAAAGGCAGGCTGCACATAACGTGCTCAAGGAGGATTAACAAAACACACTCTGGCAGTTCACATAAGCCTGAACAAGCCTTCCACGTTCATTCTCAGCCTCAGGGACAATCAATGCACCACCCATCCTGGCTGAGCCCATCTTCTCCAAGGACAGATGCTGGCACTCTAGGGATGGAAGTCTCTGCCACTGCTGGCCAACGGAACAAGGCCCAGCCACCACACCCTACTTGGCTCAAGGCAGCTTCTCTTTGCTCCCACAAAGCAGAGGGGCAGCTTGCACTTCTTCAAGGAANTGATGATGATGATGATGGACTAAAAATAATCTGTGAAATATGGGGGAAAATTATCCTTTGCACATGAAACAAAGCAGGAGACACTGTTAATTCTGCCAAGAAAATGTAATCTTTCAACAATTTACAAGATGACTCTGCTACACGTCCATCACTGGATGGGCAGCACTGAAGTCAAGGGGACTAGTTACTTCGCAAGCAAAGAAGGAAAGTCTCTTGTCTTGTCAACCATCCAGGCTCCAGCAGCTTCCAGGGCCTCAGTGGCCCCACTTGGTCTCAGTTGGAAATGTTCAATTGGGGAATTGTCAGTGTACATCACACCCTTGGATGCCCCCCCCCCCCCGCAGCAGCTTCCTACAGAGGTTGAACAGCAGCAGGAACAACGTCGCACCTCGAGGTAACCCTGGAAGTGCTGATCACAACAAGCAAAAAAACCACACCGAAAGCAAGAAATAAGTCAGCTGCTGCTGCTGCTGCTAGGAGAAAGGACTGGGAAAAGGTGGAGTTTGGAAGAAAAAAGGCTACTTCTCACGTTTAGGAAGGTAGTAAGGAGCCGAGGAGCAGGGCAGACCGAAGGGCAGGGAGTCACATGATCCCAAGATTTAAGCAGGGAGATGCATCCAGGACCAAAAGGAAGATCAGCCCCTCGGTTTCCCTTCTCCCCCTCATCCTGCCTGGGAAAGATGGCCCAAGGTCTCTGAGGAGACGGGGAGCCTTGGACTCCAGTCTCCCTGGATGACCTCAGAGAGAGACTCTCTCTGCCCGCCTCCTTTCCTTCTTCCCCATCCTCTCCCATCTCCGGCTCCACCCGGGTTCTTGCCAGGTGTTTTCCTGGCCTTTCTCTTCCACCTGGTTCTCGGCATTGCCTTGGGGGGCCCTGGCAAACGGGAGCATCCAAGGGAATAAACGGCCCAAATAGCAAAAGGTGAGAGGAGCCCTTGGAGACGGCCCTGGGATCATTCAGAAGAGGAGATGGCAGAATGATCAGAGTTGTTCCAAAACCCCCGATTTAAATGTCAAGGAAGCTGACTTTGCTCATAACAAGAACTAGCGATTCACCAAGATAGAGAGAATGTCCTGCCCTCAGTCCGGCCTCCCCGTGTTCCATACCTTCGCCCTTGTGATTTCTCTCACCAGAGCAGAAGAATTTTGCATCCGTCCCTCTGAAGGAATTTCTCTGCCTGGAGTTTGCCCCTTGTTTCAGCTTCTCAAAATCCTGCTCAATCCGCATTTTGTTTTTTCAGAATGTTGTACACTCCCCCCCCCCATCTTCACATCACCTGCAAATTTAATTATTGTTGTTGTTATTTTCTAAGCTTCAACCTCTTCCTGCTTGAAGCAGAGTCATCCATGCAGACTTCCGGGTTATAAGTCGTCAACCAATCCGTAGCCATCCAGGACTACCCCGTACACTTGGTCCGTGTACATTGCCAGCCGCACTACTTTCACACAATTGTGCAGTCAACTGAACTGGTCCCCCTGTTGCAAAAGAGGATGTTGGATTGATGTGACTTGATAAAACGGCCATCCAGCGGGCCCTGTGCACCAAGCGGGATCCATTTCTGACACTACCACTGTGGCCGTCCTGAGTTTCCATCTGTCCCTCTGCAGCCCAGATTTGGCTTCCAGGCCCTTCCTAAAGACATCCACCTTGACTGAATTGCCTGCCACCCAGCAGCTTCCTAAGACGTCAGCGATGCAGGTAGACAGGTCAGCCAGGGGGGTCTATGCTCTCCTCCTCCTCCTCCTCCTGGCTGTCTGAACCATTGGCTGAAAGTATCCACCCCTTGAAGGGCCATCCTGGCTAAGAGAGGATGAGGGTCGCTGCTTCAAGAAACCTCCCTCCCTCTTCTCCAAGACTCCCAGAAATTGTCATGGTGGATCACAATGGATTCCCATACCTCCCGTCTGCACGTCCGCCTGGCTGCATTAGGATCCCTGGTTCAGCCCTCTTTCTTTCAAGGGGGCAGCCAGGAGATCAAGGGGGCACCGAGCACAAACCCACCATCATCCAACCCCATGATCTGTTGGGGTCAACCTGCCGTCCATCCTTGAGACGTGGTGGGCAAAGGCAGGGCCCTTGTTGTCCTCCGCAAGGCTTTAAGGCCTTTTGGCAGCCATTATGGAGGGCGGGGGAGACAAGCAGCCCGCCTTCCAGTGATCCCAGTGACGACCAGATGCTCCACAGCCGAGAGCTCGGTTGGTGAGGGCTGCTGCTGCTGCTGCTGCTGCTGAGGAGAAGACCACCCTACGGCCCAACGAAAGCCCTCTTGCAGCCCCTGGGTCTCCCTGGTTGGTCTTTCTGCGGCTGTGGAGGAGCCGACTCCTGCGCTGCCTGGGTGGGTGTGGCTGGGATTCCATGGGAACTGTGGGCTCCTCTCCTTGGCCCAAGTCATCCCTCAGAGCAACCGGCATGTGGTTGGAAGGCAGGATCTCCCCTTTGCTGGGGTCCACATAGAAATTGTCGGCCCTTTTCCGCCTCTGCAGAGCTGGTGAATTGGCTGTAAAATTTGAACACGGGGACTGGCCGGGCTGCCCCAACACGGGTCCCACAAATTCCATTCTTCAGGTGCAACATCTGAGGGAACCCCCCCCCCCCACATGAGCACCAGTCCTGGGGAGCCCCTTGGCAGCAGCCTGTCAGTACAGCGCAGGCTGAGCAGAAGGGACAGCATGTTCACAATGAGGAGTAAATATTCTGTTCTGGGAGCTGTTTGGCAGCCACTGTGTGTATTTGACGAGCAGATTCCACTGTTTTGCCATTCTGCCTTTGAAAGAAGGAAAGCACAACTCGAAAGGGGGGGTGGGGTGATGAACTCCCAAATGTCCCTAAAATATAGTTAATGCAGATGACATAAAACGGGAGGGGCTGCCTAATAAGACAGAAAGGAGGGCCCAAGCAGTGGGGGGGGGGGAGGGGAGGGCGCCCTGCCCGGTCAGCTTGGAAGGATCTTTCCCTGCCCANGACGGGCCCAAAGTCACCTGGGTGGCTTTCATGCCTAAGGCAGGACTAGAACTCAGAATCTCCTGGTTTTTAGCCTGGAGCATTAAATACTAAACGGAACTGGCTCTTCTTGAATTCTCCATTTTGACCCCCAGATCAGTTTGCCGGTCAGTTTCAGACCCTCTCAGTGCATATGTGAAGATGGGGCAGGGAGGGCCCCCAAAGTGCATTGCTTTACACTTGCTTACGCTAAGCTACATGGGCTGGCAAACTAGCTTTTCATCCAATGTAAACTAATCTCTGTGTGTGTGTGGGAGAGAGGGAGAGGGAGAGAGGGAGAGTGTCCTCCAGTGTTACCAATAGGCATTCACAAGCGGGGCAGAGTTAATCTATCCATGGAAAATCATGAAACATCCAGCAAGCCAGAAAGGAAGAGCGGAAGGCAGATCTGAGTCGACAAGGGGCTGGTGGCTGGAGCTCAGCTGCCCACGTGGTCCGAGGCCAAAGGAAACTGGCATGCTGAAAGATGTGCCTCTGCTTGGCACACACGATGCCAGAACCACAGGCACTGAAGCAACCTTGGTGTCACCAGAGGAGAAGCGACAAGACTTGAGCACGGACGTTCCGAGGATCAGGGATGGGAGCTGGGCCCTTCACGTCAGATCTTCTGGGCGGAGAAGAAATGGAGTCGCCACCGTGAGTAACCAACCAGCTGATTTAGCTGGTGCTCAGCTGCAGCCCCTGGAACTGTGCGTTGCTCTCAGTCCGAAGCCACACCACCCTGTCGGAGGCCCCTCCAGCCATTGGGGCAGAAGAAAAGCAAAAGCCAGACAGTTTGGGGTGATGTGCAACACCTGGTGGGCACCTTTTACTTGTGAGCGGTAAAAAATGGCATTGTAAACGTAGAGTAAAAAGATAAACATGTATTTTAACATGTTTTAAACTGTTTTAATTATACATTTTGATGCTGTAGACCATGCATTCTTTGAGAGTCGGCAGCCAGAATAAATCTAGATGGTGGTGGTGGTGGTGGTGGTGGTGGTGGTGGTGATGATGATGATGATGATGATGATGATGATGGACTAAAAATAATCTGTGAAATATGGGGGAAAATTATCCTTTGCACATGAAACAAAGCAGGAGACACTGTTAATTCTGCCAAGAAAATGTAATCTTTCAACAATTTACAAGATGACTCTGCTACACGTCCATCACTGGATGGGCAGCACTGAAGTCAAGGGGACTAGTTACTTCGCAAGCAAAGAAGGAAAGTCTCTTGTCTTGTCAACCATCCAGGCTCCAGCAGCTTCCAGGGCCTCAGTGGCCCCACTTGGTCTCAGTTGGAAATGTTCAATTGGGGAATTGTCAGTGTACATCACACCCTTGGATGCCCCCCCCCCCCCGCAGCAGCTTCCTACAGAGGTTGAACAGCAGCAGGAACAACGTCGCACCTCGAGGTAACCCTGGAAGTGCTGATCACAACAAGCAAAAAAACCACACCGAAAGCAAGAAATAAGTCAGCTGCTGCTGCTGCTGCTAGGAGAAAGGACTGGGAAAAGGTGGAGTTTGGAAGAAAAAAGGCTACTTCTCACGTTTAGGAAGGTAGTAAGGAGCCGAGGAGCAGGGCAGACCGAAGGGCAGGGAGTCACATGATCCCAAGATTTAAGCAGGGAGATGCATCCAGGACCAAAAGGAAGATCAGCCCCTCGGTTTCCCTTCTCCCCCTCATCCTGCCTGGGAAAGATGGCCCAAGGTCTCTGAGGAGACGGGGAGCCTTGGACTCCAGTCTCCCTGGATGACCTCAGAGAGAGACTCTCTCTGCCCGCCTCCTTTCCTTCTTCCCCATCCTCTCCCATCTCCGGCTCCACCCGGGTTCTTGCCAGGTGTTTTCCTGGCCTTTCTCTTCCACCTGGTTCTCGGCATTGCCTTGGGGGGCCCTGGCAAACGGGAGCATCCAAGGGAATAAACGGCCCAAATAGCAAAAGGTGAGAGGAGCCCTTGGAGACGGCCCTGGGATCATTCAGAAGAGGAGATGGCAGAATGATCAGAGTTGTTCCAAAACCCCCGATTTAAATGTCAAGGAAGCTGACTTTGCTCATAACAAGAACTAGCGATTCACCAAGATAGAGAGAATGTCCTGCCCTCAGTCCGGCCTCCCCGTGTTCCATACCTTCGCCCTTGTGATTTCTCTCACCAGAGCAGAAGAATTTTGCATCCGTCCCTCTGAAGGAATTTCTCTGCCTGGAGTTTGCCCCTTGTTTCAGCTTCTCAAAATCCTGCTCAATCCGCATTTTGTTTTTTCAGAATGTTGTACACTCCCCCCCACCCATCTTCACATCACCTGCAAATTTAATTATTGTTGTTGTTGTTATTTTCTAAGCTTCAACCTCTTCCTGCTTGAAGCAGAGTCATCCATGCAGACTTCCGGGTTATAAGTCGTCAACCAATCCGTAGCCATCCAGGACTACCCCGTACACTTGGTCCGTGTA